AGACTAGATTCTCAGACTTACTGCCATTCTTGTTCAGGGGTTTGGACCGAAAGTCTGCTAGGATTGCAGGGTTGGTTGGTGTGAGTAAAGTTGACCATTTTCTCTCTCAAGGGTATCGCTAACTCTGGGCGACATGGTGAGTGCTTATCCATCAGTCAAATGCATCCTGGGCAGACTGTCTGTCCAGGTTCTTGAACCTCCTGACTCTTTTTTTTTGGCAGAATTGTGTGTAACCGGACATGACAACACGCACCACCTCTCATCTTATGGATCCACTGAATTTTGGTACATCACAACACGCACCACCTCTCATCTTATTTCACACCAAAATTCAGACGGATGTACCTCTTGTATAGCAAACAACATGAGATGCACAATTCCGCCAAAAAACAGATGAGAGGTGGTGCGTTCTTGTGCATTTCATGTTGTTTGCTATACAAGAGGTACATCCGTCCGAATTTTGGACCCACTGATCTTAGGGCATACTCACACAAGGACTTTCTGGACTCAGCTCTGGACGTGATTGCAGCCGGATGCATTCAGGTCTGGACCCAATTGCAGTCAGATACATTTTCTACGAAAAGTACTAGAGTGAGTATGCCCTTCGCGTGCTTCATGTCGATTGCTATCGAGGTAAAGCTGTTTCCATTTTAGGTCTGCTCATCTGGGTGGAAAAGGGGTTGTTGCCTTGACAGTTTACAGCACACCTCCTGATGACCCAATGAAAGTCCGCGGAAACTGTCCGGCACAGTCGTGCTCCTCTTCTTCTTCTTCTTCTTCTTCTTCTTCTTCTTCTTCTTCTTCTTCTTCTTCCTCTTCTTCCTCCTTCTCCTCCTTCTCCTCCTTCTCCTCCTTCTCCTCCTCCTTCTTCCTCTTCTTCTTCTCAATCGGCCATGTGTGGAGTTGTGTATAGCGGATATGACAGCACACACACATGCAAACAAAGAGGGGAAAAAAAGGGAAAAAAAAAAGAAAAAAAAAGGTTGTCTCATATTAAAAACCACTACT